TAGGTTTCCAAGTTTCAAACAAGATCTTCAGGATCAATTGGTTGTTGATAGTTAGATGGTATCTCAATAATAGAATAGTTAGGTTGTACAGTTCTTAGGATGGCTAGTTGCTTCTGATAAGCCAAAAGTTAAAGAAGATTCTTCTTTAGTTGTAGTAAGGTTTTCAGTAGTTGTAGAGGAAGATTTTTCTGGACTGGATTCAATACCAGATTGAGATAAGAGAAAATTAATTCCTTTGGTTAGAAGATTAGTAAATCTAGTAACTGGTTTTGGTATTGTTAAGATTGAAAGTTAAGGAATATAAGAAGGTCGAGTAGGAGTATAAAAGAGTTCTTGAGTACTTTCTCTTTCTTGTAAAGCTATTGGTTGAGTAGAAAAAGAAGATAATAATCCTTTTCTTGAAGAGTTATTTCATTGAAAAAAGGTATACTGTCTACTGATTTGATCTCCACTATATAGTACTAAAGAGCTAGGGTCTATAATAGATATTAGAGTTCGAGTAGGAGTAACAATAGTGGTGATAAAAGAAGTAGAAGTAGTAATAGATTTTTCTACAGTAATGACAGTTCCTTGTAGTAATTGTTGAGAAGTAGATGTACTAGTTTTTTCCTCAGAGCCTTGTGCTGATTCTAATGCAGCAACTTGTAAAGCTTTAATATATTGTTGAGCTCTAACTGAATCATCAATAAAAATATTAAATGGAGTTTTTTGGTTAGCAGTAACTAATAGTACTGAGTAGTAAGAGGTATATTTCCAAAAAAGAAGTTGGGTAATTTCTCAGAAATTAGTTATCTGGTTTTGATAACAACAACTAAAAATAATATTTCTAGCAACAACTTAAGCAGCCAAACATGCAGAAGTAGCTAGCCTTAGAAAGTTAGCTTTGGTAACTTTAGGATAAAAAGTGGCATAAAAAGCTTCTAAATACCAAGCCCAAAATTTAGCAAATCATCTGTAAGAGTTAAGAGAAATAGGTGTTGGTAGATAATACTGAGAACAAGATAAATTAATTGCAAGGGTTTGCAATATAGTAGTAGTAAGAAAAGAGTTTTCACTATGAATCTGTTGATGTCTTCAAATATTTTCTAAATGAAATTGAGTAATAAACTCTCTCATAAAATAAATTTCTTCGAGAAGGGTTAGAACTAACGAGTAATAAAACAATAAAATAAAATAATAAAATTAAGAGAATAAATCTAAAATAATAGTGCTAGCAAATAAAGAATTTAAGTAATTAATCAAAGTTTAAACAATTCAAAATATATTCATTAGCTGGTAAGTAATGTAAAATCAAAAATCAAAATCAAGATTGTTTCAAAATCAAAAATTCAAAGATAGAAGGTAAAAGCATAAACTTTTTTAATTTCAAAATACAAAATACAAATGCAAAATACAAAATAATTCAATTTAATTTGACTTAGTAGAGGTATACCTAAAATAATAATTTCAAAATTTCAAAAATGCTTTTTCACAATTGCTGCTTTCAAAATAAAATCCTTCCTAAAAAGAGAATTACTTTCTGGAATAGTTTTTTTGAAAGAGATTTCTGTTCCTTTTTTAAGATAATTTTTATATTTTCTGCTAGAAGATACCAAAATGTTACAGGCTTGCAGCCTTCTTGATACAATACAACCAAGTAACAAAATTATCTGATACAGTAATTGACTATTGTAAATATATATGAGATGAAGATGTAGTAGTTTATTTTACTACATAGCAGCAGGCAAATAGTTTAAGATAGTAACAGTATATAGATTAACTTTTATTAAATAAATATACAGTAACAATCTTGCCTGTAGAAATTATCCTAGGGGGGAAATATTACTTTTACAAATTAAACATAAAGGTAGAAGGGTCTAGATTGAAGTATAAGAACTTAAAATTGGCAGAGAAGATTAAAAGCTATTCTTTATATATCTTTTTACCTAGCAGAGATAGTGGGAATTTGAGCAACATTACTTGATACTGTACTCAAGATAATAGAGGTTCGAACAACATTAGATATCATTGTAGTTGGAATAGTGAAGGTTCAAACAACATTAAATGATACTGTGCTTGGAGTAGTAAGAACTGTGCAGAGGTAATTAAAGATATTGTTTATATTATTTGTTATTTATATTTGAAACACTTGGGACTTGTGTTTAAACACTTAGATCTGTGCAAAGTCACTTGGAATTTGTGTAAAAATACTTGGAGTTTATGCAGGAACACTTGGTGTTCATGTCAGTAATACTTGAGATTCTTGTACTATGGCACTTGGTACAGTAATTTGGTGCTAAAATACATGAAACTTGTACAAAAATACTTGGGGTTTGTAAGATGATAGTAATATCACAGATGTTACTCAGTGTCATGTGGCTGTATTACATTTTTAATAGCCAATTAAGATCCTTTTATCTATCTACTATATAATATAACTATCGACTAACTAATGACTAATAATAAATATAATATAAAATACAATAATGAATATATAATTACTAATACTATTATATAATATACTATGCTAAAATCTACTTTGTAACAATACACTCTTGTAGTAGTTCACAAAATTATATTATTAAAAAATTATTAATAAAAGTCAAAAGATCAAAGAGGTTATCTTAAAAAAAAATTTAAATTTATATATATTTTATTAGTTATATCCTATTTAGTAATTATATATAATTATTTAAAATCAATAATAATTTTTTAAATTTCTTTAAATTTTTTAAATTTTTCTTATTTTTTAAAAAAACTGTTGTTGTATTTTTTATTTTTTTTAACTACTATAACTTTATATTATACTTGTATATTTTATTTATTTGTTATTTTTTGTTATATTATTTATATTTATTTTCTATACTGTTTATCAAACTATTAATAATTTTATATTTTATTTAAATTTACAAAAATAAATTAACTAAAATTAAGATAATAACCTGAACTTGACCTAGTAATGTTAATATAAATACAGATTTAAAGGATTTAAAATAAACTACTTAAGTAGAGATGTTAAGTATAATAATTAGTAAAAAACCTTTAGGTAAACTTCTTAAATAAATAATATAAAAAGTTATATATATAACTAATTGTACACTCTTTCTATAATAGTTTATAGAATTATATTATCAAAAAAACTATTAATAAAAATTAAAAGACCAAAGAGATTATCTTAATACTAAAAAAAATCTTCGAAAATAGATTAATAAAAAAAATGGTTGTTTGATTATACTTTTTTATTAAAATATTAATAATTTTATATATTAAAATTAATAATGTTTATATATAAAAAAGTTAATAATTATAATTTTTTTAGAATTTAAAAATTTTATTTATATATAAAATAAATTTCTAAATTTATATTTTATATTTATATTATTTAAAAATATATTAATTATTAATTTTATAAACTTGTTATATAAGTATATTTTATATAAAAATTACAATATTGTTTTTTTTTTTTTTTTTAAATATTAGTGGTGAGGCAATTACAATATTGTTTATATTTATAAATGTTTATTTATAATAAAGTTTTTTTGAAATTTTTTAAAAAAACTTTATTTTATATATAAAATAATATAAAATATATTTTATATAATAAAAAAAAATATTAATTAAAAATTATATAATTTAAATATTTTTTATAAATTTATAAATTGATAAAAAAAATATTTAAGTAGTAGATCAAGTTGAAAAGTATAAATTTTATAACAAAAATTGACAAAAAATTACTATTATTTTCATATAATGTTGGAATGCTGAAAGTTTCTAATATTATGTAAAAATCATATAATTATAAAAGAGAAAATTTCAATAACTCGAAATCAACAGAACCAATTTAAATAATTCTACCACTATTAGAACCGAAATGACGTGTTTTATAATCTTTGTTAGAAACTCAAAAAAGGTTTACTTAGCATGAAAAAAGTTTTTATTGTAAGCTAGCTGCATTCCAATCCTATAGAAAAACCATATCAACTTCTGGTAATTTTTACTATTAAATTTGCTATTTTTATACCCTTTAACCGAGATTTACTTTTTAATTAATATAAAATTCATTTTTAAAACTTAATATGGTAGTATATATAATTATAAAAGTATATTTTAAAATAACATTCATTAGATTTAATATTAATAATAAGCTTTTTAATTTATTTTATATAAAATATGATGTATCAGACGATCTATAATACCCTAACCTTAAAAATAAAGATTACTTAATATATTAATATGTAATGTATAAATTACCTATATTAGCTTTTATTTTTAAAATTACAAAAATTTTTTATTTTTAGTTTATTAACTTAATCTATAAGAATTTGGTAGTTTAACTACTAAACTACTAAACTATAAATCTAAACCAATTATATATAAAAATATTTATAAACTTTTGTTTCATATTATAATTTAAAAACATTTAAAAAATTATAGTACAAGAAATTTGATAGTTAAAGCATAATTGTTGACAAGCCCAGGTACAGTACTAAACTTTTACGTGTCTGCACATGCTTATCACACGATAATAATCACACTAAACGTTCCCGGGAAATTTTATATTCATAGACTTTATTTCTTTGCCTTCATAGTATCTTATATATAATCATATAAAGCCGATAAGAAGGTTTCATAGATCCATAGTTGGAAAATGGCTTAGAAAAGATCGAGGCGCTATTAAGATTCGCGTATAATTCTGATCGACATGTCGAACATGATTAATAAACCGAATCGCTTCATTAATAAATAACTAGAGAATACGATATAAAAAAAAAAAAAAATGCAAAAAAACGATATTTATGAACGTATGAGTATGTACTAAATCGAGCCATTACGAAAAAAAATCGATGCTAAAGGTTGAGGGTATAATTATAAGCGAAGTGAAGACACATCCAACTTAATTATTTCTACAAAACAGAGAGATTAATGGTTCGCAAATGAATAGAATGAATAGAATGAATAGGATTGATATGTATGGAAAATAACGATTACCACTTTTGTGAAACGAATACGCGTAAGTATACCCGTTTAATACAAAAGGTTCTGATGGATATTGCTGTGTTTTAAATCGAAGACATTATTTCATGTTTTAATTAAACTATTCAGAAAAAAGTTTCAAGATGACAGGCCTCTCTATGAAAGTAAATTATAATTACGAAATCTAAATATTATATTAAATTGATCAAGTATTCCAGTGAACACGTCGATGTTACACGACTGATCCTTCACCAGGTGTGCAACATATGAAAAAATTATTTTACAATACCAGATCATTTTGCTAGTACATATATGATTATAATCCAACAATAATAAAATGGAGTTGGAATATAATCATAACATGTACTAGCGAAATGATCTGGTATTGTAAAATAAGATTTTTATATGTTGCACACCAGATGAAGGATCAGTCGTGTAACATCGACGTTTCCTCCTGTTATTCCAGTGCAATAATTGGACTTGTCTAATTCTTTGAATCAATTACATAAATTCAGTGAATTTCGTAACACTTTCGTAACACTTTTTCATAGTATCTAATGCCGGTCACATCGTGAAATTTAGGCCGCTTGCAATTGGATTTTCGGTTAACATCACTTTTAGAACTCTTGGGAGGATGAACGAACATATAAAATGAAAAAAGATGAGTCAATTTGATTGGTCGATGTAAATCAAGTGATTGATGAGAGTTATCCAGCATTTTCATTGGTTGTTCATTTTTTTTGGGGGGGAGACTTCAGCTGGAAGGGGATGATGTTAACCGAGGAATCAACTTCGAACGGCCTTATTTACGCAGAAATCATTACTTACAACTTCCGGTGGAGGATCTTGTGGAATATCAGATTTCGCTATTAGCACAAATAAAATTAATTGATAATAAAAATATTACAAAAGAATAGGCTATTAAATTCCTACCCTGTATTTCGGTTTTCGTTTGAGTGATCTCTATTGGATCGCATTTCTCGCACTTCTTTTCTTGAGGTTTTTTAGGGACCCCCTTAGGGGGACCACGTTTATTCGTTGGTGTTATGAAAATGCAAGAAAGGTTGTTCTGCTTGCATCGTAGGCATAACGGCGGCCCACTACATTTTGAACGACGCTTGCGGCAAGAGCCGCACGCAATCGTAACCTTTTGCCTAACAGTCGGAAGTTTATCCCTTAGTTTTTTTTTCATTATATAAAAAGAGTGAAATAATTTAATGGACCATTGAAGGGATAAACATTAACGCACAACAAAAATCTATCGAACACCACAAGAACTGAATCGATATTCAGGCTTTTAAATCATCTGTGTAATTAAAAATAATAATATAAAATATCAAATTAGAAATGTTTTAAAAAAACCAAATTATAAACAATGATACCAAATTACAAACATGCATAATATATGCAGTTAAAACAATAGATTTACAGGAGCAGGCTTTTAAATTAAAATTACACTTCCAATTAATTTCTCATGAAGAAATGAAATCTACAAATTGACATGTGTGAAAATGGTTGATACATACTTTTCAAACATGAGGCTTAAAATATGTATGTGGTGCATTTTTGTTTTTTTTTTTGTTTTAAGTAGATACCTCCGCACCAGATGATGATGGGACTTTAAATACGTAAAATACTCAAAATACGCAATGAATGATATTTTTATGGATTTTTTTTTTTAGAATTCTCAAGGCGATGATAATCGCTTTTTAATATTAACCAGAATATGGTCTGATTGCCGATCCAAAACATGTACGTATGTACGTGCATACATATGCATACGTATGTACATATTTTTTTAATATAATCGGGTGATTCCAATTAATATCCGGTAAATTGGATCAAATACCTATTTGGTTGCACAATGCACGTCAACGTACAGCGTATATACATGTCAAATCCCCAAATCCCGTGTACAAAATAAATGACAGTTTGTCACTTTAAATCTATAGAGTCTTTATGATAAATTTCATGTGGTATCTTAATTGGTTTTTTTTTCGTCTTAATTCTCTACATATAATAACGATCAAATAAAATAGATCGCAAAAAAAAAAAAAAAATTCATTAGCATTGTAATAATGTCTCTTCGATCCAAAGCAATCCAAAAGCAATCCAAAACAATGAATTTTTTTAATAGCGCTTTTTTTTTTTTTTTTTTTTTTTTTTTTTTATTAAAAAAAAAAAAACCTATTTTATTCAAATACTTAATTTAGACATCGTACAAACCGTTTTTAAAATTATCGCATACGGCAACTAATATTACAAAATAACGAAACAGGTTTGTACAATGTCAATAACAATATAGATGTTTAGTGTTGCTATAAATGTTTTAATAAATTCGAATTCGTGACAGGCAGGCATCAAGCATGAAGTGTCTTGCATAGCATATTTCGTGAGAAATTTTTAAGATAATTGTCACAAGTTATATTTGCCGAACAATGTAAAGATGGAAATGATTGTTCTTGTTATTGTTAGATTTTTTTTTTTTTTTTTTTTTTAATCTTTTTTTTTTAATTTTTTTACATACAGTTTTAATAAGTCAATAAAAGAAAAAATTGCTTATTGATGTATCATCATCCTGCATGAAAGTGCAAAATTAAAATCTCGTTTTTTTAAGTACTAATACACATCAGTCTGCATCATTGCAGCATATAAAGTCACATGTACCGCAGGTAACTACAGAGGTAAAATTAATATTAATTAATCTCACGCTAAGTTATCAATTATTTTAATATTTTTTGATATGCCCTATCCAGTTTCTAAGTACGTACGTACGTACGTACCTATCATACCGTTTACCTAAATTGATTAAATTACCATATACAAAAAGATGTGTCCATCGAGAAAGGTTAGTTCCTCTTAAACATATTTCCTACTAAAGATGATGCGGAAATAAACTTATCGTTATGGTATCGTCAAGCAAAACAAATAAATCTCAGCTAAATGTGTGTTACCGTAACCATGAAAAAAAGAAAACAAATAAATAATTGCTTTTAATTAAAAATTATTCAATCCTAATTTCTCCACTATAGGTATCCGCTGAACAATTAGAGTATATGACCATCACATGTAGTTATTTTAAAATTTCTTTCACTTCTTTGAAATTAAGTTTATATTATCTTAAACTCGACACATGTCAATTCAAAGTGACAGGAAATGATACACCGTTTTGGCAAATTATCAAACAAGGAAGGTGGAGTGACTAAGGAACAGGCTATTAGCACGTTATATGGCATTCGTTTGTTCTAGTTCATTGCACGTCGCTTCATTGGGAATTTTTTAAATATTAAACTTTTCCAATTTACTGTGAATAAATATATATATAATATATATATATTAGTTCGTTAACCTAACAATATATTTAGAAGAAAAAAATGTTATTCCGTTTAGTAAATGCTTCAATGTACCAACACTAGTTATGGTCAATATTGGTTATGTGTGATGTTACGGTGAGATTACTGAAAGATTTACAGTTTGTGCCGTATCAGGATGACTGCCTCGTTGCTTTTATCCTTCGCAATATACACGTGAATTTGTATATATGTCAAATTTTTTTGCATATAAACAATTAGGAATGTTTCACAATATGAACTTCAATAAGTCCTAAACTATTCTTGATCGCCATAAGTTCGTAAAATTAGCAATGCTGTACTATATATAAATTTTACTCTTCTGACATTACTGGACAATTCGTGCTAGGTTTAAGTTTCTATATAATTAATGTATGTAATAGGAAAACAGTTATTATTAGTAAAAAATTAAATGCTAATTGGCTGATAAATTAAATGTATTACTTTATAGGTCTTATTCGAATTTTTTGTTGAGGTTACAATTGGAATTTAATATATATTTAGATGATTTGCTTCATATTTAATTTATTCAACTAGATAAATATGTGAAGGTTAGATGAAGTAATAATAAAAGCATCTAAATTTTGCTCTTTCTTGTATCCTTATTGGGTGCTATGACTGACCGGAAGAGAACATTGTAATTTCGTGAAGTTGGATAATGCGGATTTTGTTACTATAGTTCTTGAACCGTATAATATCGTCATTAGGATTGGAATCGAATATTCATCATATCTCTAAGCTATATATAGTCGGACCTCCCTAAATGCAGCAGCTCAAGAGCGTGCATTTGAGGAGTAAAATCACAATGTGACTATTATCACATGGTAAAAATGGCTATAAATAATGAATTTGATTGGTTAGTAACCACATGAATGCATTTCTGGAGAGTATTTATAAGTGGGCCAGACAATTAGCGAATAAATAAGGTACATTTATCTATAAATCTGGAGTGCTGCATTTAGGGGGCTTTATTTTGTTTATAAATTACTTTTTTTGATTGCTTTAAGACATGTCACTTAAGATTTTATACTTAATAACAATTTCTCAATTCCCGATTCTCCCGTGATATAATTCCACGATTTCTGACAGAACACTCACACTAGAAAGCTCTAACAGATTAAAATATTTTTGTATTATAAAGACAGCTCTATTATATTCTACCAAAGTTAAAATCTTTAATATACTCCGGTTGTAGTATATAACTTAAAGTTGCTAATTAAATTTTATCAATTTAACATCAATTAGTAGTAAAATTATTTTATCCCTAGTTTATTTTAGCTAAAAACTTGGATTATAAAAAATAAAAACTGTAAATTCACATCTATTAAAGTTAGTAATTAAGTAATTCTAAAAAGTTACTTTCATAAGTGCACGCTCTCGGACCGAACTTTAACAATGTACACTTAGAGAATAATAAGATAAAATGCATTTATAAAGGTCATGTATATACTTGGATCCGAATTTAAGCGTGTATTTAGAGAGGGTGTGCATTTATAGAAGATGCACATAAAGGTTTCACGGTATTTCAAGTTATAATATATTATAAATATATATATACAGTAAAACCTTCATAAATGCACATTCTCAAAACCGAACTTTAACAATGTGCACTTAGATAATAATGCATTTATGAAGATTATGCATTTGGATCAAAATTTAAACATGCATTTAGAGGTGTACACTTATAAAGAATGCATTTATAAAGGTCATTATAAATTTGAATCTAGATTTAAATATGTATTTAAAAAGAATATATATTTATAGAAAATGTATTTATGAAGATTTCACTGTAATAAAATAAAGTGCATTTACAAAGGTTATGCATATATTTAAATTATATATTTAAATTATAGATGCATATACACTTTAAATACATACTTAAATCAAACTTAAATTTATATATAATCTTTATAAATACAATTTATCTTATTATTTTTTAAGTATATATTGTTAAGTTCAGTTTTAAAAATATACATTTATGAAGTTTTTATTATATTTAGAAAGAATATGCATTTATAAAAGATGTATTTATAAAGATTTCAAATTATAATATATTATAAAATATATAAAAATAAGTTAATAAAAATTTAGCAAATTTTTTATAATAAAAATTTATTGTAATTTTAAACAAAAATAATTTAATAAAAAACTTAATCAAATTTAATAAAAATTTTTTATAAAAATTTGTAAAATTAATTTAAAAAAATTTAGATATAATGACTTAGTAAAATAGATAAATTGTCAATTTTCAAGTAGTAGATTGTAAATTCAAAACCCATTAATAACAAAAATTTAGATAATTATCTTGTAATACTATAGTATTATAATAATAGCATTCTGTTAATTAGTTAGAATAAAAGATAAAATACTTGTAACTATAATTGTACTAGCATAATTAGCAGGTTATAAGTTATTTATATAATCTTGATTAAATAAAAAATGCAAATTGGTACTAGTAAAAAAATAACATAAATCTTTAACAATACTATTTTAAAGGCTAGATTAAAAAAATAGATATTGTAAGCTCTGAAATTGGTTATATGTTGTCATGGTTTTATATGACCAATTATCACAATTAGGTCCTGTTACCTACTCAAGTAACTGATCACATGAAAAAGTAATAGAAATTTTACTTTGCTTACTTTTATTACTTTAATTACTTTAGGTAGAATAACAGTATATAAAACATTCAGTTTTTAGTTATCATGATAAAAAAAAGTGTTTTAAGAATTTTATATTGTAAATAGATAATGTAAAGAAAATAATTTTTAAATATAAATAAAAGTTTTATTATAAATAAAAGGTTTTTGCTCAGAAGAAAAGTAACTATGATACTCTTAAG